TAGGTGGATTACCTCATTTACCTTTGGAGGATGGAGAGGGCCCATGTGACATATTAGCTTAGTGGTGCCAGATCACAAAATTCCTGGTTGACTTGCAGGCTGGAGCATGTGGAAATATCCTGCCCCGAATACATAAAAGCAAACGTCCAGTTACCAAAGTGGGGAAACTTTAGACGCATCTTTTGGAAGCTGGCCCTCCTCACTGCTCCCGGCCGTGCCTCCCCGGGACAGAGGCTGCAGACCCGCGAAGCCTCACCAGCTCGGCCCTGGACGCTGCTGGGATCAGGGACGCGGCCGCAAAAGCGCTCGCTCCCGAAGCTTTCGGCGCCACAGGGTGTCTCTTCAGAGGACCGGGAGGTAGCAGATTTTGTTCTTCCCCAGCTTTCGTAGACCACATGCCCCCGCTCACCGACGATTCTCCAAAACACGCCCCACGTTCCCGCTTCCTTCGGGAGCCCGCGGGACCTCGGCCTCCGCCCCTGACGCGGGGCTTCTCCCGGCTCCCCGCGGAGCCGGCCTAAGGCCCGCCGCCGCACCGCATCACCCCGCCGCCCTCCCTGGCGGCCTTCCGCGGCCGCGCGCCGGGGAGGGGGTCTCCGCGGGCCGCAGTGGGAGGGCTGCCCCGACCCCGCTTCCCGCAGACTCAGGCGAGGATACACCTCGCGGGCTGTCGCTCTGACGCCGGGCCGGCGCCGGCGGCCGGCTCCGCCCGCCGCCCCGCCTCGTGGGCCGCAGCCCCGAGTCGCCCGGCGCCTCCGTCCTCCCGCCGCGCCCCGCCGTCGCCCGCGGCGCCGGTAGAGCCCGCGCCGCCCCGCCCCCGGTCCGGCCACCCCACGCGACCGCGCAGCCAGCCGCCCGGCGCGCGCGTCTTCCGGCGGCTCCGCACGCCCCGCTGCGGGCTCCGCCCACGAGGGGACGCCCCGAGCCCGCCCTCTCCCGGGAAGCCGGCGCGCCCGAAAACCCGGCGCGGGAGCGGCGGAGCGCGCCGGGGGCGCCCAGACCCAGGGGCAGCAGTCAGCCTGCCCGCCGTGGGCGGGGCTAGGCGGCAGCCGAAGGGACCACGTGGCCCGCCAGCTCTTCCGGTGGGGGAATCCCTTCTTTGTCATCCTGTCATTCATTCGTTCAGCAACTGTCTTGAGTGCCTACCATCGGTCCCGCATTGTTACAGGCTCTTGAGCATTATAGCAGTTATCAAAATGGTCCCTGCTCTCTTGGTTCTCAATTCGTGAGGAATTAAATAATGTTAAACAAATTCAGCCCAGTACAGTTGAAGATCTAATTGGCTTCATTGATTCATGAATGGGGTAGCATCCCATCTAGCAAGTAGAGGGGAGCACTAGGGAGTTGTATAAAAAGGTTTTTATAGGAGGGGGGCGAGGAAGTTGCTAGCAAAGGAAAAGAAAGGATTGTTCCAGGTAAGGTCACCTTCTCTTAAGGGTTAGCGCTGGGGGTCTGATTAGGTGGATTACCTCATTTACCTTTGGAGGATGGAGAGGGCCCATGTGACATATTAGCTTAGTGGTGCCAGATCACAAAATTCCTGGTTGACTTGTTAGAGACTGCATTTCTGGGGGTGGTTGGAATTGTAATTAGCTTAGCTATTAAGCCCCAGTTTAATGATTTGGCCTAGATGGCCCCATTTTGAGCCTGTGGTTTTCTTTTTAAGGATAAAAAATAGAGAAATTAGTAACACCCCAGATGATGGTAAGCGTTATGAGGGAACAGCGTGTGGAAATGGGATAATGAAGACTTTCTCTTTCGATAATAGTGGGGCTAGGATATTTCTATCAACTCACCTCAGAAAACAATAAAATTAAAAACTGAAGTCTGGGGGTGCCTGGGGGGCTCAGTCGATGAAGCATCCAACTCTTGGTTTTGACTCAGGTCATGATCTCAGGGTTGGGAGATCAAGCCCCGCATCAGGCATGGAATCTGCTTGAGACTCTCTCTCTCTCATTGTCTCTCTCTCTCCCTCTCAGGAAAAAAAAGAAAAAAAAAGTCTGGAATATATATTTTTAATGTTCTTAAAGGAGTGCATTAGTTTGCTAGGACTGCCACAACAAAATACCACAAACCGGGTGGCTTGAAACAATAGACATTTCTTTTCTCACAGTTCTGGAGGCTAGAAGTCCAGGGTCCAGGTGTCAGCAGAGATAGGGAAACTGAAGGGACTCCATTTTAGAAAGTCTCCATCTCTGCTGTTTCCTTGCTAGGCCCCATTTACTCGTGTTTTATCTTTCACCTTGCATCTGAGTAAACCAAGGAAGCTCTATGTTCCCACTCCAAAGGGGAAGCAAGAAAGTTAATCATTCCCTGAGTTTCGTCCTAGGCCCCCACATACCCGATAACATCTAAGAAGAACCGGATCCTGAGCTCCAGGACATTAGCTTTGAACAAACCTCTGCCAACACTGGCATCCATACCCTCTATCTTCAGTGATTTATAGCATAACAGCTATTGTTCACTGACACCTTTAATCAGACCTGGATTCCTAAAGGAACACATATCCTGGACCTCTTTCCAATATAAACACCTAACCCCAAGCAATATAGAGACTCGCTTCTCCTTTTATGAGTCTCCCAGATACTCTGTCTAATATACTCTATCACTTACACTATTCAATATACTCTGCTCTCACTTCCTCCTGGCTTGAGCTTGATTTCTATCTGTATAAAGCAGAGGACCCTCTTGGCTGGTCCTGCAGGACCCCCTCTGGGTCCTCAGACCTGGCCTGCCTACGTCAGCAGAGTTGGTTTCTCCTGAGGCTTTACTGCTTGGCTGCAAATGGCTGCCTCATTCTATGTCCTCACATGGTCTTTCCTCTGTGTGCTTGCAGGGCCCTGGTGTCTCTCTGTGTGTCCAAATTTCCTCTTCTTATAAGGACACCAGTCAGGTTGGATTAGAGCATACCCTAATGACTCATTTTCTCTTAATCACTTCTTTAAAGTGATTAATAAATTTAATCAGTCACATTCTGAGGTACTAGAGGTTAGGGTTTCAACATATGAATTTGGCAAGGGCAGGGGAGGACACAATTCTGCCCATAACAAAGTGTCTGAGGGCAAAAAAGAGAAAGTCAGGATCCAGGAGGTAATCCAACTTGTAAAAGGCTTTTTTGCCCTGAGGAAAGGTGTTAACTACATATGTATATGGAGTGGAGGGCATTTGCAGCTGCATAACTAAAAGCTGGGTAGGGAGAGAAGGGAGGACGTGACTGGTAACGGTCAGTGAAGAAGTGATATGGCACTGGTACAAGTGGGTTGGAAGAATTTTTCAAACTGGGTACTAGAGTGTGTCCACTGGAAAGAAACACATCCAAAAATTGTGTGTGTGTGTGTGGTAAAACACATAACATAAAATTTACCATCTTAACCATTTTTAAGTGTACAGTTCCATAGCATTAACTATATTCACATTGTGAAACAGACCTCCAGAACTTTTTCAGATTTTTGAAAATCTGAAACTCTATACCCATTAAACAAGAACTCCCCCTGTCACCCCCCCCTCTAGTCCCTGGGAATGGCCGTTCTACTGTTTCTATGATTTTCACTACTTTTGATAGTTTATATAAATGGAATCATATGATGTTGTCTTTTTAAAAGATTTTTTATTTTAGAGAAAGAGAGAGAGTGTGGCGAGTGGAGGGGGGAGGAGCAGAGGGGGAGGGAGAGGGAGAAAAAAAATCACAAGCAGACTCCCCGCTGAGCATGGAGCCCAATGCAGGGCTCAGTCCCACGACCCCAAGATCATGACCTGAGCCAAAAACAAGAGTCAGATGCTTAACCATCTGAGCCACCCAGGCACCCCACAATGTTGTCTTTTTATTTATTTTTTTAAAAGATTTTTATTTATTTATTGAGAGAGAGAATGATAGAGAGCATGAGAGGGTGGAGGGTCAGAGGGAGAAGCAGGCTCCCTGCTCAGCAGGCGCCCAACAATGTTGTCTTTTTAATCAACACTTTAACATTGGTGTATCTGGGTTCTGTCATGTTTGTATTCTTTATACATCTCTGTAATTTCATAAATGAGCATTTACTTTTATCACAAGCAGAAAAGCCATAAAATGCAATATTAATAGTTTCTGGGTTTGAGTGGTTATGTGTACCTGGCATAATAAACCTGTTGTGTAGCGTCTATTAAAAATGCCTCTTGACAGATGAAAAAATAAGATTAAGTTTGACTAAGATCACAAAGCTAGGGGTGGTAGAGTTGGAATTTGAATACAAATTTTTATGATTCCTGAATGCAAACTCTTTATCACTCTGCTATGAAGGCTTAGGATCTGAGCACAACCTAATATTCAGTGAAAAAAAAAAATTGCAGTTCCAAAAGCAGCTAAACCATGATCCTAATTATGTAAAAGCACACACAAGACTCAAAATAACAAAAAGAATCCTCTATGTTATCCCTGTAATGAAGAGGGTGAAACATTATTTTAGCTCTAACAGTAATACTGCTGTGTACTGAATTGTCCAGGTTGGTGCTCCCCCCCAACCTCCAAACACCACTCACGAGTATTACATTTTCAATATTCTGAGAAAATTAGTGAAACCTGTAACCAAAGCATTAATGGGACTAATTGTAGCTGCAGACTAATAAGTGCAACTGCAAATTTTCACCTTTTTTGTTTGCCTTTAAATTTCCCAGACTCTCCTGGGAGAGGCAGATTTGAGATCTGCCCTCCCATCTCCTCATCTTGCCGCCTCTCGAATAACCCCTTTCCTTGCTGCATACTAAATGCCTGATTGTCTTTGCTATCCGTTTGGTGGATGAACTTGGGTTAGCTTACAAATTTGGGGAGGAGCTCTTTGTGAATGGTTCATCGACCTCAGCCCGTAACAGGAGTCCAGTGATGAGTCCTAGCCGCTGCCTAGGCTCTTTCTCTTGGGGACGATCCCCAGCCCCTCCCCCCCCATTGGGTGCCTCCCACTTAATTTAACTCTTGTGGCAAGGAAACAGCTTTGGGTTTGGTTTGGACAGAGATTTCTGGATGAGTTTCATATGGAGAGCATATGAGCTTCTTTCTTTCTCCTGTTTGGTTTAGATCTTAGATTTCTTCCTCCCATTCAGATGCCTCCAAATAGGGGGTATTGGTTCTCTTAGCTTCCTTTTCTAAAAAGTTGATGAGGAAGTTGTTTGGTTGAGTCGGGGAAGCCCTGACTTTGGCGAGGAATCAATGCTCACAGAGGTTGGGCTTCATTTGGTTTGTTTGTTGCTGCATCTTCTGATATCTTTGGATAAAACTGGCTATGTTCTCATTGGGAAATGGGAAATGACTATTTGATCCCCCCATGCAGCCCTTTGGGCTATTTTCCAAAACTGGGAAATCATTTTTTGTAATGCTGCTTGGCCACAATACAGAGAAAAATGACCAATGAATGGATCCATACATTATAATACCATCTTGCCATTAGATTTGTTTTGTAAAAAGGAGACATTTGGAAATTGGGCCTTTAAGATTTTGCTTGCACCTTGTTTGTGTACTTTTGTGTCCATGAATATTATAAATGTGAGGTATTTTCTCTACCCCAGGGTGGTATTGCTAAAATTAATTTATAAAAGAGCTCTACTTAGTTGGTTTAAAGTAAGTGCTTGTAGGAGTTGGGTATTCTAAAACTCAAAGATAGAAACTAACCCAAATGTTTTATAAGTTCACATGATCTTGCAAAATATTCAGTATTAAAGCTAATTTAAGGTTGTTGGCTTAATCAAATGGACATGTCTTTAGAATTATCAGCATTATATATAAAACTTTCACTCTGCTTGTGTTTACTGAAATTCAAATAAGTTCATGTTATCTCCACTGCAAAATTTGTCAGGAAAGGGGAAAAAAAACCTTAGAACTTTGATGCCTCGTGAAGTTTTATGGGTGACCTGAGAACAAACAAGAAGATGTGATGCAAGGAAAGTGAGACTGGTTATTTAAAGAGAGAAAACTTAGGACAAAATCTGAATGTGAAAAGTAAAGTTGTATGTTTGTGAGAAGGGAATCTGGAAAGGAATTTTGCACGTGGTCAGGACTAAGATTGTGGAGATTAATATGTAAAAAAAAAGTTTATTAGGGAGTGATCAACACGGGGAGAAGAGAAGGGAGAGTAGGAGAGTAAGATGAGACACTATCAACAGGAGGCTTCATTGACTCTGAGGACTTCTAAAAGTTGTATTACCCTTCGGAACCATCCTAAATTGGGGCAAAAGGGCTGGACTTTTATAATAGTCATTGGATGTAACAACCTGGGCAGAGGGTATGCCCTTTGACAAGGCAGCTGTCTTCAGTTAATGCAGCCCCTGATGGTGTGTGAGTTGAGGACTATTGGCTACATTCCCTGCAGCACAGAGTCCTTCATTCCTAATGGGGATTCTGGTCAGCACGTCACAGCACCCACCACAAAAACTCAGATCCGTGCAGCACTCTGCACGTCCTTGTCTCATTAAGCATATATCAACATGGGAGACGACAGGGAGGAAAAAGGAAGGTCTGCATGATTTTTTAAAAAGTTCATCTTGTTGGGGCGCCTGGGTGGCTCAGCCGGTTAAGCATCTGCCTTCGGCGCAGGTCATGGTCTCAGGGTCCTGGGATGGGGCGCCCAGTGAGGCTCCCTGCTCAGCGGGAGCCTGCTTCTCCCTCTCTTTCTGCCCCTCTGCTCCTGCTCTCTTTCTCAAATAAATAAATAAAAATCTTTTTAAAAAATTCATCTTGTTGAAATAAATGTTTTTTTTTTTAAGATTTTATTTATTTGACAGAGAGATACACAGTGAGAGAGGGAACACAAGCAGGGGGCGTGGGAGAGGGAGAAGCAGGCTTCCCACTAAGCAGGGAGCCCCATGCGGGGCTTGATCCCAGGACCCTGGGATCATGATCTGAGCCAAAGGCAGATGCTTAACGACTGAACCACCCAGGCGCCCTGAAATAAATGAGTTTTAATATTGGAAGTACACCAGTATAAGATTGGAATTTGGTTTTTCTCTGTTAAAATGGTAGTTTTCTTAGGTTATTAGTTTAAGTCGTAAACAAAGATTATTCTATATCTTTACTCGGCCTAGAAAAACAAAGTTTCTAAGTTTGGTCTTTAAAATGGAATCTTCTCAACATTAAACTTTTATTAACAATTATATAATCCTCTGCATTTGCCTTTAGAATCTTATTGCCACAGGCGCCTGGGTGGCTCAGATGGTTAAGCGTCTGCCTTCGGCTGTCATGATCCTGGAGTCCTGGTATTGAGTCCCGCATCGGGCTCCCTGCTCCTTGGGAGCCTGCTTCTCCCTCTGCCTCTCATGAATAAATAAATAAAATCTTTTTTTAAAAAAAGAATCTTATTGCCACCTTGGCTAATAGACAATTATTTTTAATTTTTTTTAAAGATTTGAGAGAGAGAGGGCACCTGGGTGGCTCAGTTGGTTAAGCGACTGCCTTCGGCTCAGGTCATGATCCTGGAGTCCCGGGATCGAGTCCCGCATCGGGCTCCCTGCTCGGCAGGGAGTCTGCTTCTCCCTCTGACCCTCTTCCCCCTCGTGCTCTCTATCTCTCATTCTCTCTCTCTAATAAATAAATAAAATCTTAAAAAAGATTTGAGAGAGAGAGAGAGCAGGGGGAGGGCAGAGGGAGAGGGAGAGACAACCTCACGTAGACTCCCCACTGAGCATGGGGCCTGACACAGGGCTCGATCTCATGACCCTGAGGTCATGACGTCACCTGAAACCAAAAGTCAGACGTTCAACCAACTGAGCCACTCAAGTGCCCCAATTAAGTTTTTAAATGATCTATAATCTTACTTAGGCATGTACTTTAAAATCTTCTGATATTTCAGATAAACTTCCCAAAATTCAACTACTAAATGAAGTCTTTTTGACTAATTAGGCTTATTTGGTATGTCAAGTCACATGGGAAACACTGTCAAATAAGTGATGATAAACCTCCTCAGGTTATATTATATGGTTGAATGCTAGAACTATTCCAGAAATTATATAAAAGGTCTAAGGTTTTAATATGACATTATAGCAGGACACATCAAAAGTTCTAGCAAAGCAGGGGTGCCTGTGTGGCTTAGTCATTAAGCGTTTGCCTTCAGCTCTGGTCATGATCCCAGGCTCCTGGGATCGAGCCCCGCATCGGGATCCCTGCTTGGCGGGAAGCCTGCTTCTCCCTCTCCCATTCCCTCTGCTGTGTTCCCTCTCTTGCTGTGTCTCTCTCTGTAAAATAAATAAATAAAAATCCTTTTTAAAAAAAAGTTCCAGTGGGGCGCCTGGGTGGCTCAGTCATTAAGCGTCTGCCTTCAGCTCAGGTCATGATCCCAGGGTCCTGGGATCAAGCCCCGCATCGGGCTCCCTGCTCTGCGAGAAGCCTGCTTCTCCCTCTCAACTCCCCCTGCTTGTGTTCCCTCTCTCGCTGTGTCTCTCTCTGTCAAAATAAATGAATAAAATCTTTAAAAAAAAAAAAAAAGTTCCAGCAAAGCAGATTTAAAAAAAAAAAAACAACAACCCTATAACCTTATATGACCAATCACTATTCTTGCTGTGCTTGCTCAGGGGCAAGAGGGGGACAGTTATTTATGTACTGTATAGCAGGAATGGTAAACTGCAGCTCTCAGGCTAAATGCAACCAAACACCAATTTTTTGCATGAAGTTTACTGTTTATTGGAACAGAGCTACACCCATTCATTTAGGTCAGTGGTTTTCAAGTACTTCATGAGTACAATCTTGACCCCCAGGGCACATCTAGCGACATCTGGAGACATTTTTGGTTGTTACGGGGCGGGGGGGCACTATTGGCATCTGTTACTGGCAACTTGTGGCCAGAGATACTGCTAAACCCACTGTTGTGCACAGGACAGCTGCCTAAAACATCTGGCCCAAAATATCAGCAGTGCCAAGGCTGAGATACCCTGGTTTATAGGTTTCTCTGGATGTTTTTGCACTAACATTGTAGAGTTGAGTGGTCTGACAGTATGACCCACAATATGACCCACATATGACCCACAATACCTAACATGCTTACCATCTGGCCCTTTATGAAAAGTTTGCCAATTCTCTACAAGAAACCATAAAATATACTTAAGTTATTTCATGTGTAGTAGGTTATCTATCAATTCTAGAAAGGTTCCTTTAACATTATTTCTTCTAGAAATGAGCCAACCAGTATTTTTTTATACCTCTTCTAGCCATATAAAGGTCTATAGTAAAAAATTATACTTTATATTTTATTCTGATTATTTAAGGGATATTTAAAACAGTGATTCTCAAAAGCCAATCCAAGTATCAATAACTTGCCATGATGAACTTTTCACTGGCCCATAATGAAATGAGAAAAATAAAGACAAATTTGGGAGATTTTCATAAAGCTAACTTAATTCAATGTTAAGTATTATTCCTAATGATTACATCCTTCCTATATTTAAAAACATTAAAATGCCCTTTCTTTTCTGAAGCAATGTTGGTAAAAGGTAGTTTCTTTAATATGGCAAAACTGATAGTTGTAACATTGGATCAAGTCGTTAAAAAAATTCATTGCCTCTTGAAATCCAAAAGTCAGAAAACCTCTGATTTAGAGGCTTTTGTTCCATTATGAGGATTCTTTGATGTTGAACATGTCACATATCATTGCTGAAGGTATTTCTTAAGTGTGTTTTGCAATGTCTAATAAGTGATGAACTACAGCTGAAGGCTTTTCCACATTCATTACAATCGTAAGGTTTTTCTCCAGTATGAATTCTCTGATGTTTAGCAAAGGATGAATCATGCCTAAAAGCTTTCCCACAATGACTGCATTCATAAGGTTTCACTCCCGTGTGGACTCTCTGATGAATAGAAAGATGAATTCTCTGGCTAAAGGCTTTCCCACATTCCTTACATTTATATGGTCTTTCCCCAGTATGAGTTCTCTGGTGTTGAGTTAGGTACGTGCTATGGCTGAAGGTTTTACTGCATACATTACAAATGTAGGGTTTCACACCCGTATGAATAATCTCATGTTGCCTAAGGTGTCTAATCTGGAAAAATGCTTTTCCACAGTCTTTGCAGGTGAAAGGTTTATCTCTAACATGAGTTCTCAGATGCTGGATCAGCCCAATGCTCTGGCTGAATGCTTTCTCACATATGCCACATTCATAGGGCTTCTCCCCAGTATGGATTCTAACATGTTGAGTAAGAGATGATGGATGTCTGAAGGTTTTCCCACATTCCTTACATTCATAGGGTTTCTCACCAGTATGGATTCTCTGATGTGGAATAAGGGATGAACTTTGGCTAAAGGCTTTTCCACATTCTTTACATCGGAAAGGTTTCTCTCCAGTATGAATTCTCATGTGTTCTGTAAGGTGAATGAGCTGTTTGAAGATTTTTTCACAAATATTACATTCAAAAGTTTTCATTCTTGTATAACTCCTTGAATGATTGATCAAATCTAAATTGTATCTACTTTTCTTTCTAGATATATCATATTTATGGTCTTTTTTTCTTGGAGGACCTTCTGGTCCAGGAATAACTTTTGAGCTCACATTAATACTTTTCTCAAATCTGTTAGATTCTCGGCCTCTCTCCTGGGTGAGTGTTTTCTCGTGGGTCAAGGGGATCTGCCGCTCACCCATTCCTTGGTTTTCCTGGTGGCTTTCTAACTTATCACATCTGGAGACTCTTCCCAATGTGGAATATATGGTGCTTCCTCTCGTGGACTGTTCCTTCATTAGGCCATGGTGTAATTCTTCCCCTGAAATATCATTCTTTAAGGTTGACTCCCTGGTTTCTGTTTTATTCTCCAAGTCTGAAAGAAATCCCAAAATACAAATGACCCACATTCAGTGCACTTTATTTTTTTTTAAAGATTTTATTTATTTATTTGACAGAGAGAGAGAGATAGCAAGAGCAGGAACACAAGCAGGGGGGTGGGAGAGGGAGAAGCAGGCTTCCCGCTGAGCAGGGAGCCCGATGCAGGGCTCGATCCCAGGACCCCGGGATCATGACCTGAGCTGAAGGCAGACGCTTAACGACTGAGCCACCCAGATGCCCCTTCAGTGCACTTTAAAAAATAAATGGCCATAGAGGGGGAAAATGAACATGTACCAAGCATAGAAACCTTGGACTATCTTAAATGTAGTTCTGCCCCCTTTAAAGCTAATATAAAAGGAAATGAAGAAATGGTCAAAAGAAAGAAGCTTTTAGAGTATGGAAGGGGACTTCCAGGAATTGGGAGGAGTTCATCCATGTGAATTCCAGAAGGAAGTGCATTAAGAGAGCATTGTTGTAAGGGTAAATATCAAGAGATAAGATTAAGGAACACAGGATTCTAGTGCCATATCATCTCAAGTCCATATTTCTACGACAAAATTTTCTCTATTAAAAAAATTTTTTTTCAAGTATTTATGTCATACTTTCTACACATTAAAATAAAACATTAAGGGCGCCTGGGTGGCTCAGTTGGTTAAGCGACTGCCTTCAGCTCAGGTCATGATCCTGGAGTCCCGGGATCGAGTCCCGCATCGGGCTCCCTGCTCAGTGGGGAGTCTGCTTCTCCCTCTGACCCTCTTCCCTCTTGTACTCTCTATCTCTCATTCTCTCTCTCTCAAATAAATAAATAAAATCTTAAAAAAAATAAAATAAAATAAAATAAAACATTAAATAATATAGGAGAATAGCCTCTCTCAATCTCATCTCCATTCCCTTAGTCTCTTAGGATTTTGGAATACATCCATTTAGATATTCCCAACAGTATGTATATGTGAATGTGTGCATTTATGTATGTATGGTCACAAATATAAATTTGCACAAAAAAGGGATATATATAGTTCTGCATCTGTTTTGTTTTTTATTCAACTATATCTTATGGGCCCCCTTCTGTCTGTACATTTAGATTTATGTCACTCTTTTTAAGAAGTGCAATGCATCCCACTGCATTCCACTGGTGGGTGTATCATAATTTGACTTTTCTTTACTGAAAAATATTGAGGTTGTCTCCAGTTTTTCATGTAATCATTATGCAAACATTTGTTTACACTCCTGTCAATATTTCATAGGATTTACTAAAGAGGAATTACTGGGTTCTGGATATGTGTGCTCTCAGTAGACGTGGGTGCCCATCCCAGTAAGTTCACTCGATTTTTATCAATCGTCATAATTCTTGCCTATAACTGTATGTGTGAAAAATGGGCTTCTGAATTTGTGACACATTATTAACTATACTGTAAAATCTTAAAAGATAGAGACTATATAGTCTATCCATAGTATATATGGGACAATTATTTTTGGAAGAGGGAGTTTCTCTAGTTTTTATTCTCTATTACCTTCCATCGATTCTGGACCCTGCCATCTTAAACTACCAATATTCCCTGTTCACAACAAACTCCTATTCCCCAGGATCTCTAACCTCACCTTAGTAATAGTACATATGAAGTGCTTGGAAATAGCTGGATAAATCTTGGAGTGGACTTAAAAAGCAAGTAGAGAGAGGGGTGCCTGGGTGCCTCAGTTGGTTAAGCATCCGACTCTTGGTTTCAGCTCAGGTCATGATCTCAGGGTTGTGAAATCAAGCCTCATGTCGGGTTCCACGCTTAGCATGGAGTCTGCTTGAGATTCTCTCTCTCCCTCTTCTGCCCCTCCCCACCACTTGCGCTCCCACTCCCGCTCTTGCAAATAAATAAATAAATAAAATCCTTTTTAAAAAAGCAAGTAGAGATGTTTATATTACTTATTACAGGGAATAAGGAGTCACTTAACTTTTTAGGGTAAGAACAAGAAAAATGTCATATTTCAAGAGGTCAAATCTGACAGTAACATTCAAAATGATTCAGAAAAATAATAAAACATCAAAAATACAACTAAAAATCATAGTAATAGGCATGAGATGATGGGAACTTGGCTTGGCACTGCATCAACAAAGATGAAGGGGAGAAGAAGGGGCACCTGGGTGGCTCAGTCGGTTAAGCATTTGCTTTCGGCTCAGGTCATGATCCCAGGGTCCTAGGATTAAGTCCTGCATCACACTCCTTGCTCAGCTGGGAGCCTGCTTCTCCCTCTGCCTGCTTGTGCTCTTTCTCCCCCTCTCTGACAAATAAATAAATAAATAAAATCTTTAAAAGTAGGGGTGTCTGGGTGGCTCAGTTGGTTAAGCGTCTGCCTTCAGCTCAGGTCATGATCCCAGGGTCCTGGGAACAAGCCCCGCATTGGGCTCCCTGCTCAGCGGGAAGCCTGCTTCTCCCTCTCCATCTGCCTGCTGCTTCCCCTGCTTGTGCTCTCTCTCTTTCTCTGTGACAAATCAATAAATAAAGTCTTTAAAAAAAATAAAAAATAAAAATAATTTTTAAAAAAGAAGAGGAAAAGTCATCTACTAGCAGGTAATATCAGAGAAGCATGAGAAATGAGGAAGCACTGAGAGTAGAAAAACATGATACATTCTTGCTGATACCATGATTTTTGGTCTTTGAGACTAAAAGAATAGGAGGAGTCAGGATGAGAAATTTGCTTGGGAGAAAGGATGGTCTCTGTTTTCGGATGTATTGGGTTTGAAGTGACAACAGTGCATCTAGACAGAGATGTCCTAAATACCAGGGGTATGTGGGAATAGAGTTCATATGAATGTATGAGACAAAGATGAAAATATGGAAAATATAGGTGTCAAGGAACAACTGAAACCATCACAATGCATTTGTGGGCATTTGTGCAGATACAGAACAGCAGCGTAAAAGACAGAGGCCCCTTAGGGATTGTGGCAGACACTGTTGGATATTCACCAAAATCTGTTCTTCCCATTTCTGGACACACAACTACACTATATTTCCCAATCTTCCTTGATTTTGATTTGAGTGAAGGGACAAAGGTTTCTCCCACAAGTGACTCAGAGTGAAAAGTCACGTGAACCACTCCAGGCTGGCCCATTAAAGCTCCCAGATGGGACTCCTGCATGCTCTTATCCTGCTGCTGGCCATCCTTAGATGAGGAGCATGCCCTAGGGGATGGTGCAGCCACCGCGTGGGAGAAATCTCAATCCCAGATCCACTAGGTGGAGAAGAAGTGCATTGGCCTAACCACTTCCCCAAGACCAGTGTATGAGCAAGAAATTCCTATTCCGTTTGAGCCACATTTTAAAGTCGATCTGCTATAGTCATTTAACCTATCCTAACAGAGGTGGAAATGATGTATCTGCATTAAAAAGGATATTGATGAGAAGCACTGAAAAGGCAATAAGAGAGACAGAGGAGATAAAAATTATTAAACTGGCTGGTGGAGGAAAGGACAGATACCAAGAAGGTGGTGAGGTCTGTGAACCTAACGCCGCTGTGCAGAATTGCGCCATAAGAACACAAACTGTGGAGTCAGGAGGATCTGAATTCAAATACCAGCTCCACCAACCAGGAGCTAAGTGATGCTGGACAAATTTCTTAACCTGTGAGCCTTCTTTTCCTCCTCTGTAAGATGCGGCTAACATAGGCACAGGACTCACAGAGGCCACCTGGATGAACAGCTGTCGTTATTACTGTTCTCAGATGAAGAAGGCTGTTAAAAGCTGTTTGATTTGGTAAGAAGGAATTCTGTGGGGATTTCTCACACAGTCCTAAGTTATCTGAAATAAAAAGTTACAATATACAAGTTAAAAAGAGAATCAGAATTGAAACTATGATTACAGAGTAAGATTCAGGAAAAAATTTTAAAAGGAATCGTGAGAGTGAGATCCATGATAAAATGACATGAGAATCTGGTGAAAGGTGCTGTCCTTAATGAGAGGAGACCCATGAATACCTGAACGGACAGGAGAAAGAAGCTATGATCAGGGCAAGGTTTGGAATACTGGAGAAAGCAAGAAAATCATGAAAGTCAGGTCAGGAGAATTAGTCAAGAAAACTAACCCTGATGAGAAAGGCATCTCTTTCCCCACTACTCCAGAGAAACTAATGAGAAGAGGCAAGTGCAGGTGGTAATCAGGTTTCTCGGGGGTCCCATCCAGATAGTACGGTCTTCCCCACAGCCTGGAAAAGGCCTCAAGTGGAGCTTTCCAGCAAACATGACAAAGGCCCCAACTGCCTTGCTCTTACCTGAACTTGGACTTCCTGAAATCTCTCTCTCGATCAGCCATGGCTCTTCTCCTTTCTCCAACTGGGAAATCACACCAGGTTTGGAGAGCTGATATCCTGCTCATGAAAAAGAAAACACTGCATGTGCTGAGGTCAAAGAGCCATCCCAAGAATTTAAAGACAGTTCTTTGGTATTCAGGCCTGCTGAGGGGTAGAGTAGAAAGACCAGGGCAGAAAAGACCACAGCTATCCTGACTTGCTGTTTAGAAGGGACTAGAAAGCTCTATCACAACCCAAAGCCCAAGCATAGCACTTTGGTTAGAAATAAAGATTTTCTTCCAACAGGCAGGTTCTGGTTGTAAGGGGAACTCATCCTTACCCACGGAGACCAGGTTCCCATAGTTCTCCAGCATCACCTCCCGGTATAGATTCCGGTGAGCAGGGGCCAGCTGCCCCCACTCCTCCTGGGTGAAGTCCACAGATATGTCCTTGAAGGTCAATAGTCCCTAGAATATCAAATATGTTCCTTTTCAGTTCTAATATTGCCTACATGCTAAGAGATTCTAGCCAAGTCTACTTGGACACTCTCTTGAAAATTGGTTGGCTGACTCTCTGCAGGAGGTTATAAACAATGCAGAAAGCATATAAGTTGTCTTTTGCAACTTATCATTTGGCTGAAGGAGAAATACTCATGAAATATTAAAGAAGGTCTCAGAGCAGTATATAATAATTTGGATTAAGGACAATAAAGAACAGGAATATTTGAGGAAAGGGAGAGTTCAAAAGAAGCTAACGCTGCAAGAGAAGACAGGGACGTTTGTCGGGCTGAGAGAATTGGTTAAAATGAGAACATTTCGGGCGCCTGGGTGGCTCAGATGGTTATGCATCTGCCTTCGGCTCAGGTCATGATCCCAGGGTCCTGGGATTGAGTCCCACATCGGGCTCCCTGCTCCTTGGGAGCCTGCTTCTCCCTCTGCTTCTCTCTCTCTCTCCCTCTCTCTCTCCATCTGTCTCTCATGAATAAATAAATAAAATATTAAATAAAATAAAATGAGAACATTTCAGCATAGATAAAATACCATTAGCTGGGTATTTCTGTTAGTAAGAAAAGTACGTGAGAACAGCACATTCCTGGAGGGAGCATGAATTCTGCCTAGTAAGGAAGATTTGACCAAAGCAGATACCATGTTGTGAAGTACAAGAGCCTGTCATGTACAATCCACACAAATTAAATAACCATTTTATGGTTATTTTTAAAAATATCACCAAATGCAAAGAGAACCCAGAAGCCAGAAGGCTAAGATAATAACACATTCCTTAAGTATAAAGATGACTCTACTGCTTTTTAGGTATTATAAATAAGTCTGGAAGGCATTTCAGGCCTATTGGGCTGGCAATAGCATCCACATTTAACCCATTAGAAAACTGAATTTGAGGAATGTTAAAGATACGGGATTAAACCCTATACCACGTTATTTTAAAAACTAAGATCATTCCACTATAAAAGTCTTCTGTTCTCTAAGAATATCTCCTTCTATATTGATTTTCTGTTTATTTTCTGAGGTTCCCTATGATTTGGGGGTTTGGTAGCACAGAGCTTTGCCTGCTGCCAATGGTTGTCTGATTAGCTCATTTATGATACACAGACACTATTAAACTGCTCTTGGAAGTTTTCCTTTCTTTTCGGGTCAGCCTATTTAGTGTGTGCCCTTCATGACCTGCCAGTAACTTCTCTACTCATTTCCCTTTTCATCTACAATTCTGCTCCAAAATATGACCAGCAATCCTCTCTTAAAGGTCATTAATGAAGTGCATTACATCTCCAAGAATGTCAGAACTGCATTGTTAATTTTTAAATGTTGCTTAAAATGTTTTACATCTGAAACAAATGATGTGCTATATTGAATTTAAGTAAAAAAAAAAAATGTTTTGTTTGTCTTTCCCCTAGATGACACTGTGAGGTTTCAGGGCAAGAACTACATTATATACTTTTACACACACACACACACACACACACACACACACCAGGACAATTTTTATTTGTACTTTTTCAAATTTTTATTTTAATTCTAGTTAGAATATAGAATATAGTGTAATATTGGTTTCAGGAGTAGAATTTAGTGATTCATCACTTACAGATAACACCCAGTGCTCATCATAACAAGTGTACTCCTTAATACCCATCACCCATTTAGCCCATCCCCCACGATTTTTAAATGTGTTGGATAAATGGCCAGAGGCTTGTCTGAAACAAGAAGGTTCCTCAGGAACCTTCTATTATGGTGAATCTCCTATTATGAGGAACCGTCTACTATTGGTGGGAAAATTACCAGTGAAATCAATCAATGTGGGTTGGTTTAGAACAGGCTAAGAAAATCCAACCCAGCAAGTTAAGCCGAAGAAAATCAAAGTCCAGGGCTCTTAGAATCTGAGAAACAAGTTTAAGAAAGTGACAGGAAACTCCAACCCACCTGAGATTCCACTGTCGAGAGCCTAGAGGTGACTTCATCCTCGAGACTTTCTCTCTGGGTCTCATCAACATCCTGAGAGAGCAAAACTGAGATAGGAGAAGAGCCATGAGGTTTACATCTTCCCAAATAGAAAAACAGCTTGCAGACCTGGTGAACACAGCTCCTCTCTCAAAACATTCACAGAGAGGGACACTTAGAGCAACTCAGAGCAGACTGGAGCCTCCTTAATGAAAAGGAGCTACAGTGCACTGCTTTGGGCATTAATACTCCCCAATGGTCAACACTGGTCCAGAAGCACAGATCTACTGGGCCACTCCTCTGTTCAAAAATCCTCAAAGCTTCCCCACTGAGAAGAAAGAAAAATCCAAATACTTTCCCATGGATTTCAAGATCCTCCATGACCAGTCCATCGTTGTTTCTCTACCCTTCTTCATCCACTGGACTCACCCACCCACATAGCCCCAGTCACCCTTCTTTGAACATACCTCCTACTCGGCAAAAAACTGAGATATCCTTCTGGACCGGTTCAGGTGAAGTTTTCTCAAACACTCTTAATGAGAAGAAAGCCTCCTCTTCCCTGTACTCTTCCAAAGCTTGTTTTTATCTCGGCTTAGATATCGATCTCAGACTGCCTCCTGTTATATTTATTTATATAATTATCTTCCTCAATTGAATATTAGTATGAATATATGCGTAGAAACTATCTGGTTCATTTTTTTTTTCTATCTGCTAAAGTGTTAAGCATAACACCCTGCCAGGTTGCTAGAATTCCAATACTGGCTGAATTTAGGTATTAAAAATATGAACTAGGACTTAAGGCAAATAAATCATTGTCCTTACATTTTTTCCCAACTTTTTATCATGAATATTGAACACCCATATATCCACCACTTGTATTCAATGATTGTTAACATCTGCCATATTTGCTTCATCTATCAATATATTTTTTGAACCTTTTCAAAGTTGCAGACATCATGATACTTCATCTCTAATTACTTCAAATAAGGATCTTCTTCATAACCATAATACCATTTATCACACCTAAGCAAGTTAACAATTCATATTCAGATTTCCTCAACTCTTCTCAAACTGTCTTTTATTCTGAATTTATTCCAACCCAGGAGCCAACCAAGGTTCACAAATTCAAAGTGGTTGTTATCTGTAGTCTCTCTAGAATAGTACTTCCCTCTTTTTTCTTGACATTGGCTTCTTTTTTTTTTTTGACATTGGCTTCTTAAGAGACCAACAGTTTGACTGTGCTAGGGTTTACCTTACTTGTCAATCCCCTGTATTTTCTTTAAACCAGAAGTTCGGCCTTTAAGCTCAATTTAGGACCAGGTTAAATATTTTGGCAGGAATTCTTCATGAGTGATACTAATGTGCTTTTCATTACACTACCCAGAAGACACAAAATGTGAGGTTATCCCATCATTGACACACTTGGTTAAGAGAGTGACCACCAAGGGCACCTGGGTGGCTCAGATGGTTAAGCATTTGCCTTTGGCTCAGGTCATGATCCCAGGGTCCCGGGATCAAGCCCCACTCCTCACTCCTGCTCAGTGAGGAGTCTGCTTCTTCCTCTCCCTCTTAAGTAAATAAATAAAATCTTAAATAAAAAAAAAAAAACAAAACAGTGACCACCAGATATCGCCATTGGAAAAGAATGTTCTTTCCTTACAATTTAGCAAGTAATTTATGGGGGCAATACTTTGGCACCCTGTGAATACCCTGCCCCATTAGCTTTTCAATTATTTCATTTATAGTAAAATAGCTTGTCATTCCTTCTACTCTTTTTATTGGCAGATATGTTCTGTAAAAAGCTTTCCCTCAGCAATTGCAAATGATCTAAAACGCAAGGTAAATGCATTCTTCGTTCCCATAAGAATTTATTTCCAAAGTGAGAAATCAGCGTATGAATCACCACCACTGTTGGTAAATGAGTCTTCCCCCTTTCTCTATTTTAAGTGTCATCATGAACTTATGGAATTTTATTTATTCAAGGTATTACAATCAATCTGTATACTTAACAGTCCTAAGTTTGTCCAAACTTGCCATCTTGCTGGTACATGTCCATTAGTCTTTGGACTCTTCCTTGCTTTCTAGCACAAGATACTCCAGGCTCACCTGGTGCTTTCCCTGCTGCCTTCTACTTCTGACCTAGCCAACAAGTGCCTGGACAGGTCTCTCATTTGATTCAAATTTCCTCACTGTAAAATAAAGAAAATTAGGCAAGTCTTCACTGCCCCACATGGGGAAAATGAAAAGAAATAACATATACAGTCATGACACTTAGATATTGGGTTCAGGTTGAACCTACAGTACTATTCAGGAAAACTCCAGGCCAGGAGCCATAATCAAGAACTCCAGAGACCTTTTACCCAATTGCCTCCCCAAGGGATGCTTCCGCTCAGCTGTCTACCTTCCTTCTCACACTAGAAGACGCTGCTTTTCCTCCTTCCCGCCAACCAGCCTATTCTCACCTTCTCCTTCAAACATCTTAGTCACATCCTCCCACAGGGGCGCCCCCTCCTTGGTCTTCTTTGGATGGCACAACTTCACCCAGGTGCTGGCCTCCATGGGCAGGGTGATCAGGAGCTGCTGTAGCATGATGACTTCAGCACTCCTTTTTGGGGCTCTCTGTCTCAGCCCACAAAGCAGAAGGTCCTATTTGGCTTGGCCACTTCTGATAAGCAAGCTCCTGGAAACTCGGGCTTCCCAGTTGTGCTGGAGTCCTCCACCCTCGTGCACCTGGGAACATACAGTACCAAAATCCAGAGTCTGGACCTTTTAAATGTCTAGGCTCGCAAGGAACATCTCGTCTTGAGCTCTGTCTCCTTAGCAAGCAGCTGGAGGCTCCAGGTTTCTAAGCAGCCACCTCTACAGCTGCCTGGTGAAACTGGACAGAAAACATTAGTTAGCAAAAGGATCTAGAAAGCTCAGTCGCACAGTCAAAATTCTAGAACTTACACCAACAGTGATTATTTTTTACAAAAGGTACATGGAGACGGTGGATATACACAGCCCACGCGATCCAAACCACGGTACTGGTGTCATGAAGCACAAAGAGATGAATAAAGCTCAGTTCTTTGTTGTGGGTAGTACTCTGTTTAAACTAGTCTTGAGATTTGAAATCCCAAAGGCGCTGAGCTTGAATCCCAGCTCCTTCGCTTCGCTCGGCCGTGGCAAATCACGGAACCCCTGCAATCCCGTCTCCTCCTCCAGCAACGGAGAGAATAAACCTTTCTCCAGGCCTGGACCTCGCGGTCTTTGAGCGCGACCCTGGGCCGCCGGGCGCACCACGCGCCACGGGGGACCGCAGGCGGGGCGGAGCCGGCGCTTCCCGTCGCCCCCGCCCCAGACCCGGCGCAGCCCCCGCTCACCGCGCTGGCCGGCTCGCCACGCTCGCCCTCGCCCCCTCGCCCGGCAGCCGGCAGCCCCCCGCGCAGCGCCGAGATGCTCCCACGTACTGCAGCCGTGGCCGGTGCGCCTGCGCGTCAGCGGCCTCCGCGCGTGGTTCCCAGCGTCCTCCGGGGCAGCCTCCGGCTCGCGGCGCTTCCAGGCATGCTCGCCGGGAGGCCCTGTCACTCAGTCACTCCGTCACTCTGGGGTCGCTGCCGCTCCGGATCCCAACCACGGGGGATGCAGCCCCACTCCTGCGGAAGGAGACGGAGCCGGTGCTCTTGTCCCCACCCAATCTACTGAATAGAGCCGTCTCCCTTCTGCCGGCAAGAGGCAAGTGAATGTTTTCATGGGGAGATTGGAAACCCTTGACAAAAGGGAAACTTCTCTAGCACCTCTTTGTCCAAACAACATTGCTTTAAACGAATCCATAGCACTTTTACTTCATATGTACGTAGAAAAGACTGAAAATGGAATGGAATCCTGTGTTTTATTAAAAGACTACCATGATCAGGTCGTTTTTGCGCTAGCATTCAATAAATTCTTATGTTAATTGCTTTTCTTGTTATTGCTGAAATCCGAGAAAATACACAAAAGCAAGGTAATTATTACCTAGAATCTCATCAAGCAGAGATAAGCATCGCTAACATTTGGTGCAGACTTACCTACACAACCACCCGCCCACACACACACCCCATGTTTTCTTCATGCATTTTTATGTATTCTCTACAAAAATGATTATACTGTAATGCACTTTTATTGGTGGGTTTTGTCTCAACAGAATACGAGTACATCATTCTTTTTTTTTTTAAAGATTTTATTTATTTATTTGACAGACACAGCGAGAGAGGGAACACAAGCAAGGGAAGTGGGAGAGGGAGAAGCCGGCTTCCCGCTGAGCAAGGAGCCCGATGTAGGGCTCTATCCCAGGATCCTGGGATCATGACCTGAGCGGAAGGCAGACGCCCAACCAACTGAGCCACCCAGGCATCCCGGAGTACAACATTCTAAATACACTTCTACATCAATAGCTTACACAAACTTCAGAAAATAGAATGAAACTATGTACTTGCTAGCTGTTGTGGACTGAATCTTTGTGTCTCCCCACCCACCTCTGTAATTTCATATGTTGAAGCCCTAACCCCCTATTGTAGCTGTATTTGGAGTGAGGAAGTAATTATGATTAAATAAAGCCATAAGGGTGGGGCCCTGGTCCCATAGGATTAGTGTCCTTGTAAGAAGAGGCACCAGAGGGTTCACTCACTCTCTGAAGGTGCAAGCAATGAGGAAAGATCATGTGAGGATTTAGCAAGAAGGTGCCATCTACATGCCAGGAAGAGTTCTCATGCTAAACTGACCCTGCCAGACCTTGATCTGGAACTTCTAGCCTCACAAATGTGAGAAAATAGATTTCTGTTGTTTAAGCCACCCGGTCCAAGATATTTAGTTATAACAGCCCAAGGAGATTAATGCACTTGGCATACAGTATTTACAGAGCATGAGGCTTTGTTCTCAGTGCATTGCATATTTTAACCTGTTTAATCCTTGTAATACCCTCTGAGGCAATTCCCAGTTTGCAGATAAGAAAACAGGTTTGGAAAAATTAAGTAACTTGCCCTGCAATATACAGTTTGCAGGTGGTGAATCCAGGCAGTCTATGCTCCCATTCACTGCCTAACAAAAACACTGCATGAAATAGAGTAAAATGTTGGAGTAGGTAGTGATACATGGATGCACACTGTAAAATTACTTCAACTTTTCTGTATGTTTGAATATTTTCATAATAAAATGTTGGAAATATAGCTAAGAATAAACAAGAATTATGTGAGACATTATAAACAAAACTACAAAAGTTACTGATTTAAATAGAATAGTGACAAGCACCATCTTCATGGATTGAAATAGAGCATTCTACATATGTCACTTTTCCTCTACTTTAATGCTTCTCCACTAAATCTCAACTTTTCTTTTTACTCAATTAAATGATTCTAAAGTTAACTTGGAATGGTAGGTATTCTAGAATGGCCAATAAAATTGTGCAACAATAATAAAGTCATACTTGCCCTACCAAGATGATATAAGATATTATATTATAGAGGGACAATAATCAAGATAAAACTAGTGCCAAAATACACTCATAAATTAGTGAAATGATTTTGGAAGCCCAAAAACAGACTTGATAATTTATTTAAATTTAATATATTATAAAAGTGACATTTCAGGGACTCCTGAGTGGCTCAGTTGGTAAAGCGTCTGCCTTCAGCTCAGGTCATGATCCTAGGATCCTGGGATGACCCCTGTGCCAGGCTCCCTGCTTAGTGGGGAGTCTGCTTTTCCCTCTCCCTCTGCCTCTCCCCCCTGCTTGTGCTCTCTCTCTCACACACACTCTCTCTCTAATAAATGAAAAATAAAATCTTAAAAAAAAGTGACATTTCAAATTGGTGGGGTAATGATGGATTGTTCAGTAAAAGGCATTAGATCATTAGCCATTTGGGGGAATTGTATCAGTCTGCTTGGGCTGCTACAACAAAATACTATGGAGGGATGACTTAAACAGCAGAAAAAATTTTCAAAAGATTATATTCATTTATTTGTCAGAGAGAGAGAGCACAAACAGGGGGGGCGGCAGGCAGAGGGAGAAACAGGCTCCCCACTGAGCAAGGAGCCGGATGCAGGACTCCATCCCAGAACCCTGGGATCATGACCTGAGCCGAAGGCAGACGCTTAACCGACTGAGCCACCCAGGCGTTCCTAAACAGCAGAAATTTGTTCTCTCACAGTTTTGGAGGTTGGGAAGTCCGAAGTCAAGGTGCTGGCAACATAGGTTGCAATCTGAGGCCTCTTCTCTTGCTTTGTAGGTGGGTGCCTTCTCACTGTGTGCTCACATGACCTCTTTTTGTGTGTGTATGGGAAGAGAGAAGGAGCTCTTTGGTATTTCTTCTAATAAAGACACTAATCCTATCCTTATGACCTCATTTAACCTTAAATACTTCCATAAAGGCCCTATCTCCAAATATAGTCACTTTGGGGTTTCAACATGAATTTGAATTTGGCTGGGACACCAAACACTGTCTATAACAGGAACAAATCAAATGGGGTTTCTACTATATATGTTACATATCATGTGATTTCGGGAAAGTTAAGCTTTGCTTTAAAACAAAAGCAAAGCTATTGAAATATTCAAAGAAAGGTGACTCTACACAAAGTTTTGTGAGTAAGCCTCTTTTATTTGCAAGTAACAAATTCACCAGAATTGCTTTATAAGTTAAAAGGATGATGGTTGTGGTGGTGGTGGTGATAATAATTGGAAGGATTCTGGAATGTCTTTGGAAATCCAAGGAAGAAGTGATTAGCCCAGTCTGTAGAAGGTTAGGGACCAGTGTATCTGGTTGGTGCCCAAGGGATGCCCTCTACACTCTACACCACCACCCTTAATATGGTTCAGTTTTAGCAACTCCAAGTGTCTGATGTTCAATTCAAAATTCTAGATCTTGGCAATATCATTTAATCAGTGAGCTGTGACCAGGTGGGCAGGCAGTGTCCCAGTAGACCTGGTTTCTGGGCACTCACCCCCATGAGTAGGGAGCAGTTCTCAACAAAGGAGAAGTGTTCCAGACTGAGAAAATATATGTATGTTCCTTGAATCATTTAATGACACAAGAAACTTTAATGCTAAAACATGATTTTTTAAGTACAAAAAAGAACAAATAAATAAATTTATGACTATTCAAATATTCTAAATAAAATATTAGCAAATAGAATCAACAATGCATTAAAGACATAGTATATATGACCAAGCAAGGTCAAGAGCAAAACCATATGATCATGTCAATAGTCAATGAAAAAGGCATTAATAATCTTTAGCAGTCATTACTAATATACCTTTATTTGTTTTTTTTTAAGATTTTATTTATTTATTTGTTAGAGAGAGCGTGGGCGAGAGAGAGTGAGCGAGAGAGAGTGAGCAAGGGTACAAGCAGGGGGAGCTGCAGGCAGAGGGAGAAGCAGGCTCCCTGCTGAGCAAGGAGCCTGATGTGGAACTCGATCCCAGGACACTGGGATCATGACCTGAGCCGAAGGCAGACGCTTAACCCACTGAGCCACCCAGGTGTCCCCTCCCCTAATATACCTTTATTTGTTTAGCAAGTAGTTATAGAGCATTTACTCTTTGTCAACTATTGTTCTAATTAATATACTGAAAACTCAAGGTAAAATAAGAATAGAAGGAAACTACTTGAATATAAAAGACTATTTACAAAAGACCATAGCAAATAGTATTCTAAAATGATGTAACACTAAAACCATTTTGATTAAAATCAGAAATTTGCCAGCACATTATTTTTTAACATTGTCTTGGAGGATTATCAAATACAACAATATAAGGAAGCTAGCAAAAA